GAGGAGGCCAAAGCCCGTGAGCAGGCCATGCTTGAGGCCACGGAGGGCGAGGCTGCCGCGAGGCAACGTCTGTTGGAGATGCTGCAGGGGATGCTGCAGGCCGTTGAGAGCACTGAGGGGGAGGAGCGCGCAAGCTCGAGGACGAGGAGGCCAAAGCCCGTGAGCAGGCCATGCTTGAGGCCACGGAGGGCGAGGCTGCCGCGAGGCAACTTCTGTTGGAGAAGCTGCAGGGGATGCTGCAGGCCGTTGAGAGCACTGAGGGGGAGGAGCGCGTCAAGCTCGAGGACGAGGAGGCCAAAGCCCGTGAGCAGGCCATGCTTGAGGCAGAGGAGGAAGAGATTGCGTTGCGGCGCAAGCAGAAAATGGCTGAAGATGTGCGTTTGGTGCTGAGCGAGGAAATGACGCGTCGTGACGAGATTGTTGCCGATGAGCAGGAGACCAGAGCTGCTCTAGGTCAACAACAGGGCGCGTCTCTCGCCTTTCAGCGGTCCGTCGCTGCGCTTGTCAGTTCCGAGGAGGAGGGGCGTGAGTCTATAGGAGGCACCGAGGCGAGTGAGTTTGGGGCGCTGCAGGTGCAGACTGGCAAGGCGGCGGAGAAAGCCCTGCTGGCGCAGGAGGAGCGGGAGGCGGTGGAGCGGGAGGCGCAGCAGACGCAGCGCAGGCAGGACGCCCAGCAGTTGATTAAGAGCGTCGTGTTCGCCTACAGGATTCGACGACGCTTGGCAAACCGCCTCCTCAACCGAAAGGCGCAGGAGTGCAAGAATGCCTTTGCGGACACGCTTCGCATGGAGTTCAGCGCGCGCAGCGCCATTGGCGAGGAGGAGATGTCGGAGCGGCAGCAGCTCGACGAGGCCAAGCACTCGCTGTTGTCCCTCGCGGCGCAGTCGACTGTGCGGACGACCGCGGAGTTGGAGAAGGAGGAGGACGACGTCCGGCATCAGCTCATTGACGACTTTATGTTTCACCTTAGCCAGCTGCAGCGGGCCTCGCGGAAGGCGCAGGCGAGACAGCACGATTTCATGCCCTCGCTCAAGCAGCTGCAGGAATTCGAGGCGAAGGAGGACCGGATCCACGCAAATAAAACGTCTCCCATCGCCGCAAAGCTAAACTTGCCCCTGAGCGACACCGACGAGGCCGTCGAGGAGGAGGAGGAGGCCGAGGACGAGGCCGCGCCGCTGAACACGGGGAAGTACAAGGGCTACGCGTTGGACTCCATTGGAACCTTCCTGCTGCAGTACGAGCGGGACCTCCGCCGCTTTAGGGCCTCGCTGGAGAAGAACAGACTGGCGGTCGCTGCGGAGCACGACCTGCTGAAGAAGTCCCGCGACAACGCCACGCAGGACATGGTGCACGGGGGAACGGAGGCCCTGTGGATCCCGACGAGGCCGCTCCCGCTGTCGGATCTTGTGCGTGGACCCTCCGCCCAGTACCGCCGCGGCCGCATCGTGGACGCACGCGGGAAGTCCCCCGCGCCACGCCTGACGGACTCCGACGGACGCGCCACGACGCCCATCGATGCCCCTTCCTTCGAGGGCTCGGTGAAGCCGCGGAGCCCCTTTTGATACGCCAGAATGTATTTACGACTATATGCGCCTAAACTGCGACCGCTGCGGGGGCGGCAAGCGTGCTTGTCCACACGCCTGTTGCGCCCCCAGCGTCCGCCTACGTCGTTTTTGTTTTGCTTTGTGTGTATGTGTGTGCGTGTGTGTGTGTGCGTTTGTGTGTGTGCGTGCGTGTCTTTTTTTTTGTTTTGCTTTGTTCAGTCTGTAGCGAGAGGAACGCCTCATGGAATGCTTCACGTCCACACACGCGCCCACACACACCCCAACAACACGCAAAGACAAAAAGAAGAGCGATGAACAAGAGAGAATGAGAGATAAATGTAGGTAAACACACGCGAATAACAAGAAAAAAAAGAAAGACGACGGCAACAAAAGAAGGACATACACGAAGGGAGAAGAGAGAGACTTATCCCGTAGTAGTCCAAATATATAATCTCTCGCGTCCCGACTACTGCCGCCCCTTGGATTATACAAGAAGGAGTGTGGCCGTTTGCGATTATGTTGGCTTTGCGGCGTATGACGAGTAGCCTTGAGTTTAGTTGCCAGGTTCATGGCCACCTGCACGCAAAAATAGAAATGTATTTACCGTAAAGTGACCGCTGACCGACGCATTATATATCGGTGTTCACTTTCCTTTTTTTTTCTTTTTTTTTGTTGTTGTTGTTGTTTT